AATGAATACCAATTTTGATCAAATTATGGATGATTTCCTTGAAACAACTCCTGAAAATGCAAATGTAGTTCTACAACATGCAGATATCACGCAATCTTTGAAAGTACAGGTTCTAATTAAGTACAAACATTTATAAAGGGCAACAAGGACCAAAAATTGACAAACGATCTTGGTGCATGCTTATTTATTAGACAAATTATTGAATCAAGTGGTAAATCATCATCAACATTATTTTTTGTATGATCAAGTATCAGCATATTACAAATGAGCTTGTATCAGGACCTATTACCTTTTTGAAAAAACAGGGATAGAACAAATCATGAGAACAAAAAAAATAATCCTTAGAAATATCTACAAGATAACAGCTGCTGGATTCAAATCCCTAATTGGTGCTTAACTCATGGAACTCACAGATTAGTTGGAGAAATTATTGAACTATAAAATTTTGCCATATGATCTCTTTAGTACCCAGAATGATCCCAATACCTCAGATCAATATATGATGATCTTTTTGGTTATCTGAAAGAAAAGATCTTCCAGAACACTTCTAGAATATTGACAATCAATTTTGCTATTAGCAAACTTAGCATAAAGTACTCTAGAATATTCTATAGTCCTAACTTATCATATATAACTATTATTTTTGAAGGATACTTGAGTTCTGTTCAAAATAATATAGCTTAATAGTTTAGTGAAACCAATAGTATAATTATTACTATTATTTATCTTAATTTATATTTTCACATATCATATAACTCAATTATGTATTTAAAGGAGGAAATTCTCCCTCTGGAGACTTCTCAGAATTTATCTAACAATAAAATTACCTTTAGCCTGAAATTATTGTCCTGCTTCTCTTGCCTAAATTACCAATGATAAACCTTTTCATTTATTATTGTTCAAATTAGGAACTTTTATATATCACGTTAAAAGTCTAACTTGATATTTTCCTGTACTAGTTCTTTGTTACTATCTGATTCCTAAAAGATGAATTGGATAGGTTGACAATACCAAATCAGTTTTAGTTACTATTAACAATTCCAATTGTTATTTAAAAAAAATTCAAGCTAATATAAAAAAAAATAGTCAAAGAACTTGATAGAATAGAATAAGCAAGGTTTTTGAAAATCTGAATAGGTAATCAAAAAATTGCAATTGAGTTTAAAGAAAGAGTATTTGGAAAAATTAATATAGTTATCAAAACTCTTAAAAATAAAAAGATAATAGATAAACAAGTACTCTATATTCTGAATAGGATATTAATACTAGAAATAGAATTCTGAATATAATATAGTATATTATAATGAAAAATATGCAATATGTTAACAATAGTATATAGAAAACTTTTCAAAAATAAAAGTTTATTATGTAAATCCATATTCAATAGTATAATATATTATTTAAAAATCCATAATTTAAAGAGTATTTGTATGTTATAGAGAGAAAGTCAAGTAATATAATTGTACAATAGATTAAATAATCTTGGATTAATAGGAATTATAATAATTATAAAACTTAAACAAGTATAAATTAAATATAGGAAAGCACTTAATCTATTGACTTATAAATTATTAATCATTTTTTAAATAAAAGTAACTTCTCATTTCAAGTAATAAAACTGGCTAAAGATATGGAAATAATTTTTCAAAGCTAAAAATAATATGATATCTTTAAATGAAAAAAAAAATAGTTTGATTAAAGAATATATTACATCCAATAATTACAATAAAACTATTTTATTATTAAAAAATAATAGACCAATGTACAATATATAAATCAACTAATTAACTATAAAACAAATGAAATTAGAAATTGATACATACTTCAATTTATCTAAAAAATGGATAAATATCCTATTCTAGAATAGTTCTTAACTATAAATAAGATGCTTTTCAGAAATCTTCTAAATCAATTTTTAGAATCTTGAAAAATAAATTGAACTAAATGGAAATCAATATATTCCATAGTAAGCTCTAATTGAGATAGAAGATAAAAAATATAAATAAACCAAAGAAATAATAATTATCAATTAAACTAGAAAAAACTAGTATAAAAATAAGTAGGAAAATAGAGAAAAAATTGAATACTATAGCTAGTAGAACAATGAAACAGTTAGAAGACAAAGTTAATAAAATATCTAAGTTATTTAAAAAGTCATATTTAAGAAAATAGTTGTATTATAGAAGAAGATATAAAAAAAATATATACAATACCATATTTCAATATAAAAAAGAACACCAGAAAAATCCAGATATCAATAATTCCAAGTCACAATATATCTTTGGAAAAATCAATCAAGAAAGTAATATATAATAATCAAAATCTATCAGAAAATCATTTCTTGTACCTTTTCTTTAATATTTCAGAATGATAATAAAAATTAGAAGGAAACAATCATCAAAGAGAATATTAAAAAAAGAGTATATTAAGACCAGTTAATAGAGATACTTTAATATAAGCTAGGATTTAGTCAAAAGTTAATTTTTTATTTAGATGGCTTATTCATTGATCATAGAAGTGACAATATGAAATAGAAGCATTATAGATTCAGATAAGTGATATAAGAATAGAAAATAGATTTCAAACAGAAATAGATAATTGGTTTTCATTTATATAAATAGAACTAACAGTAATAATCACAATATTTCTAGTAGTTTCAATAGATAGCATGATTGAAATCTTTATAGATAGTCAAGTTTGCATCTCAAATAGGAATTAATTAAGAAAAATGATTCAAAAAGAATATATAAGAGATGATTAAAGGATAAAAACTAGTTATTATGTATATATATAATAAAATCGATCAAGAAAAAAAGTTTAAATTTGAAATATATCAAGATTAAAATATATTTCAATAATTTCTATAATAATAAAACAGTTACTTTAGTTAAAGATATTCTTAAACTTTATGCAATAGAATGGAAAAATTTTATCACATATAAGATTTCTACTGAAATCCAGTAATAAGGCAAAATGCCAAATGATTTCATAAAACAATTTATTAAAAAAGTAAACAATAAAACTAAAGCATATTAATGTATAGTATAAAACAGATTTGAAAAGAAATAGAGCCATTAGATCAAAGAACAATATGGGATTTAATATGGGAAAAATAAATAGATATATATATGATATATCTTTTAAAGATTTATAAAAAAAAAGTTTTTTTATTAGGTCGATGAATAATAAACTATTAACACCAAATAAGTTAGAAATTAGGTTGGATTTATATAAGTAAATAAAATATATCACATATAATTTTTATGAAGAAAAGGCAATTAATTACTTATTAGAATATTCAACTTAAAAAAATAGATAAAAAAAATATAGAATAAAGATCTTAAAAGAGTTTCTAAGAACTTCAGAAAACTCTTATAAGAAAGAAAAAAGGAAGCTGTAAAGAAGAATATGAGACTGACAGTAAACAATATAAAAGAAATAAAGGAAGTCAACAAGTGAATATCTAGACTAGTAGAACAACTTTAAAAATAAGTCAGGGTACATTAAGTCATTGTATAGAATTATTAAGAAGTAAACTAATTCTTGAATTGATAAATCTAAAATGTCATAATAAAAGAGTTGGAAAAGAAGTAAGAAAGTAGATAAAGAAGATGCAAAATATAGTATACAATTGATTTTATAAGAAAGTCTAGGATATAAGATATGAAAAAATAATAGAATGAAAAAAAATATAAGGAATATAAAGAAATAATAAAATAAAAAGATATCTTAACTCTTAAGATCATAAAACTATATTATTAAGAAGAAAAGTTTTATTATTAAAAAAAGGAAAACCAAAAAATCAAAACTCAAAAGATATTTTATTAAGAGGGGTTAAATTCAAAAGAAAGTAATTAGGTTTTAAGTTCTGTTAGAACTTAAAGAGTGATCTGTAGTAGTGATATGCAGGTGATAATATTAAGAGCTGGAAAAGTTTTTACTTAAATTCTTAATGAAACAACAAATCACTTTCAAAGTTGCATTTAAAGTAGTAATTAAAAAGATGAATGAGTTAGTTAAAGTTTTTAAATTTAGCGATTTATATTATAATGTATAGTTTACAATTGTTTAATAAAGTATACATAACTAGTCTGACAAAAGGTTTAAAAAAATAAATAAGATTTTTATATATAATATATAAATATTAATATAAGAATAAGATTAGAATATTAGAAGAATATTTTTGAGTAAGCATGAGATTTAGTTTAGCCAAGATATATTTGTCCAATGTATCACACATAATTTTGTTATTTATGATTAATAAACGCACTATGCTGGCCTGACTAAGGGTTAGAAAAAATATCTATTAGAAGAATATTTTTTATCTAATGAGTTAAAAAAATATTTTTTATCCAATCACGAGTTTTAAAAAAATATTAGAAGAATATTTTAAAGATTAATAAAAAATGACATTAATTATTATAATTGATTAAAAAAAAGACTATTAAAAAATTATTACATTGAAACTCTGAGCGTATCACGTGATTTTATATTAAGATTGAAATTCGTAAAACGTTCTTAGAACTTCAATAATACTGTATACGGTCAATCATTTGGTAAAGTACAGATAGTCAATCAAAGCTAACAAAGAAGGTTGGCTTTTCAAATAAATGTTTGTGTCGTTTTGCAATACGAGACCCTTTTCATTTTCGTACATATAATGGCACAGATTTACGGAATTTTAACCAAACCAAAATTGTTTGTGTCCTAAGTACAACCTTGAGTAAATCAATTCAATTTTTGAAAACCACCAATCTCTGGACTGTTATTGTAATATACAATAAGACAAGTATAATCACAAATATTTTACCTACATATGAATCATAATACGTATTTATGGATGCATACTATACCTATATTTTTCGTCATGTCTTCTAGAAGCCCATTGTACGCAGCATTTCAAATTATAAAAAATATTTTATATCTGTGATACCTATTATTTCTTTAAATATAGCTTCCTTGTGCTTCTTTCATCCTCTTGCCGCCTTTCTCGTGTTAATATGACGACAAACAACCCAAATAATCTTAGAGTCACTTACAAGGTTGGTAATTATAAAGGAAAATTGTTAGGTAATTTATCGTAGGTCAATAACACCGTCTTTAATTTCAGTTGATAAAAACTTTTGTGTCAGGAGACCAATCTACTACCACGGATGAATTTGTAGATTTTAAGGACAAATCGCACTTTCAGCTCTTCTATGATATCACAGACATCTCCGACACGGCCAAACTTACACCCAAATATTTCCGTGAGGTGTTTAAACCCGATAAAAAATACAAACTATATTGGTTCAAAGATGCGTTGAAAAGCCCCCCGCAAAATAACCAAAAATCGTCTTCGACATCTTCACCCACTGCTATATGGACCATCGAACCATTAAAATTTAAATTTTCAAAAATTTTTAGAAAAGCTAAACGGCCAAAACAATTTGCTATCACCTTTACGGATACTGGCTCACGATCCGTCTTTAAATTTGACGGAGGAAAAAATGAACAGTTAGGTTATTCTGGTGATACATACACCCCTTTTAATAGTGCACATGTGCAAAGATACCGTTGGGTCAGATACAGCGATGGTTCGAAGTGGGTTTTCATTTCCAGAGACGAACCAAACAATCCGTTTGTGGAATTCAGGAAATCCGAAATTGGGAATGAGTTTATAATAGTCTTCATTAGAGAAACGCCATCATGCTGGAATCCCAATATTACTGACCAAATTCTACCTCCTCCATCACCGAAGTCTTCTCCTTCCATAATGTCTTCTTCGGAATTCACCGCTACCTCTTCATTTCGTGATTCGGCGACGACTGGAATAACGTCCGATTATTCTTCTTATCGGGAATCTACTAGTTCTGGCACCTCAAGTCGAGTTGGAGCCAACAAACACCCTTCGATTCTCGGAGTTGTCAATAGTGTAAACAATTTCGATTCAGTCAGCCCTACGGAGACAAAATTCTTTGACAGCAAAAATGACGAGAACCCTAACAAATTTTGGTTAGAATTTGTTCTAGCATCAACCGTGGTAATACAAGATGAGGTTAATTCGAGGAAATACAGAATGTGGAAATCATAAAGTTTAAACGAGAAGTATTGAATATTCAACCATTATTTTACCGCATAGTTAAGCAAACATTTTATTTCTTTATCATGCAAGGCTATTGATTAGCTTAAAGAGTTCATTAACGTGTGTACCATAGAATCGGCGATAATCGCACCCCTTTCTCCCTCATTTTTTCCCTTCCTTTTGAAAATATGTTGGTATTTTCCTGATAAGTGTCTCTACAAAGGAAAACTATCATACTGTATCTACAATTGAATTACATCAGAATTTTGGCATCATCCAATGTACTGTATACGAATGCTATTTCACTTTTCGGGAATCCTGTTGGATGATAAGCGGTGTCATCAATTTGCATTTTAAAGTCACTGCAATCAATAATATCCATTAAATTCACGCGAACCAGGCAAACCTAATTACTGTATACTTGATACATTACTTATGTATAAGAAATAGCTCGAATAGGAATTTCATTACCAAAAAAAGTACGCAATGCTCATCGTGGGAATTTTATTCAGGATCCTATTTATTGTTTGATTATCCGTTGCGCGTTTTGCTATTAATACACCTTATTTGGATAAAAAAGAAATCTATTTAAATTTCTTTACAAATTATTTATATGTAAAAAATTTTTTTTTGTTTTTTTATGATCCATAATAGATTTAATCAATAATAGATTCAGAATATAGTTATAAAATTTTAATAAATAATTATAAAATTGTATAAGCCTAATAATAGTATTTTTATTTTTATATAATTATCTGATTATTACTTTATAAGATATACATATTTCTAAATTTATAATTAATTTTTTTTTATCTACAATTATTCTATTACAAGTGTAAAGGCTTGGGCTATACTTCAGAATTAGTTCTTTGAGTTTTACTTTTTTAAAAAATTTAAAAATTGTGTTTAATTTTTATATTTTTTTTTTATTAAAAAATTTTTATTTTTATATAGTTTAATTTTAAATAGTATAAAGGTCTGGGTTATGCTTCAGGATTAGTTATTTGAATTTTATTTTTTAAAAAAATTTTAAAATAAATAAAAAAATAATTTATTATTATTTTTTATATGGTTTATTTTTAAATAGTGTAAAGGTCTAAGCTATGCTTTAAAATTAGTTATTTGAGTTTTATTTTTTTAAAAATTTTAAAATTGTGTTTAATTTTTATATTTTTATATAAAAAATAGTTTTTATAAAAAAAAAAAGATTTATTTTTAATTGTTATTTTAAAAAAAAACTTTATTTTTACTTATTGTTTTTTTAAAAAAAGTTTATTTTAATTTTTACTTTTTTATTTGTGCAAAAGAAAAAAATATTTATTTTTAATTTTTATTCTTAAAAAAAAAAACTTTATTTTAATTTTGATTTTTTTCTTTTTATTTAGAAAAAAAATTTTTTTTTTGTTTTTTCTTTTTATTCAAAAAAAAAAAAGTTTATTTTATTTTAAAAGAAAAAAAATTTTTATTTTTAATTTATATTTTAAATGAAAAAAGATTTATCTTTAATTTCTATTTGAAAAAAAAAACTTTATTTTTATTTTTTATTTTAAAATAAAGTTTTATTTTTATTTTTATTTTTTTTTTTTAAAAAAAAAATAAATACAATTACTTTCAAAATTTTGAGTTCACTTACTATATTTTTATTATAAATTTCAACTTTGACAATTTTTAAATCTTTAATTACATAATCAAAATTTATAAAATTTATATATATTATATCTTAATATTAGTTTTATTTATTATAATTTTTTTAAAAAAATTTTTTAAAGTTTTATTATTGAAAAAAAGCTAATACAATTCTAAATTGATAATATTACTCTTAGCAATAAGAAAAGTAGATCCAATCTATTGATAGAGTGTCTTTAAAAAACAGACAAAACACATTAGTAGCTGAATATAAACAAACTTCTATTGATCACCTCACATGTTCTGATAATATAATTGATAATTAAAAGAGTTAATTGGTACCTATGTTCACCCCACTCCTTCAATTGGGTTAACTTATAGATCAAGTTCCATGAAACCAATAAGATATGAGCAACAAGTCCTCAGATAATAAAAAAGCTACTATTTATTCAAACTGGGGTCTTTCTCTTCTATTATTATGGTTAAGCAAAGTTTAAGACCAAGATCTTCTTTTTATTCTGATTAAACAATAAAATCAAATAGTCTCTAATTCATGCTAAGCTTCAACTCTTTGGTTACAGTTGAGAATGTATTTCTCCAGAAGTTATAAAGAATATCACAATTGATGAGGATCCTCATCACTTTTGAAACCTTTCCACTATTATAAGGTATAAAGATTATTGGGAAATCTGATCTTTTGGATAATAAAAGATATATCAATAAAAAATTTTTAATTAGGTATAATTGTTGAAAGATATTATACTAAAACAATATGACTCAGTTTCTATTAAGTCATATAAGAACCTGAGGTCCATCATAAGTTACCTTTCTATCACAGATAAATAAAAAATTACTACCTAAAGAAAATTAAAGCCAAGTATATCCTAGAAGTAAAAACTCTTACTAGATAATAAGTCTCCCCAGACAGTATATAAGAAGGAAATCCAGATCAAGAATAGATAAGTTCCTTAGATGGTCAAAAAAAGAAAGAATATTCCAATTAAGTATTTTTTATTGAGAAAAGATCTTAAAAAACAGGTCTTTGAAGAAAGCTAAAAAATTTTTTTTCAAATTTTATCTTTTTATTTTCTTATTGTCTATTTAGACATTTTTAAATATCATCCTTCCCTTTTTTTCAATCCATCCTTTTGTAATTTCCTATATTTCAATGATTTGAACAGATATACAGTAATAATAACCTATTAATAATTATATAGTGAACTAGGAGGCACTAGTTGTAAAAAAATTATTCAGTATACTGTCACTTGTATAACATTTAACAAAAAATAAACAATTTGACAAAAAAAATTATTCAGCATACTGTCACTCATGTAACATTTGGCAAAAAATAAACAATTTAACAAAAAAATAATATAAATAAATTGACAACTATATAATTCATTTATAAATATTACAAAAATCGATATATTAACAATTCATCAAAAAATTCATTAACAATTCATCAAATAATTCATTAACAATTTGACAAAAATTCATTAAAAGTTTGTTACAAAATTATTTATTAAAATTTTATAACTATATTCTGAATCTA